GCTGAGCAAATAATTGGAAATATTAGTCACAAATTATTGTTTCAATAGCTTCTTGAGCGAGACATTGTCCCAGCCCTACTTATGATCATCCCTGCCTATGCAATTTGTTTGCATGAACCCTGGAAAGTTACTACTTTTCAGACAAATCACTCACGTATACAAATCATTTCAGTTTCAAGTAAATTCATCCTGCAGTTCAGGTATTTTCATAATTCTTTTAGGAGCTGCTGGTTCTCTGCTTATAAAGCTTCAGATGCCACAGTTGCACTCCATGGCTTGGGAAACCACTCAGGAAAAAAGAACAAAGAAGGAAGTCCCATGAAAGCTGGCAAACATCCCCGATCGTCGCTGGAGCTCCATCTGAGTTTCTCACCTCAGTGCTTCGTTGAGCAACTCCGGGGCACGGATTGTCTGGTAAGACCATTCACTAGAAGGCTAGAAGTATTGTTGGACATTAGGATTCACTTGGCTTAGCCATAGCAGAGCTCATCAAACCAGTATTTAAATATCGATGGGTGGGGAAGTCCTCAAAGAGTCCTGGCAGACACAGATGCCTGTCTTTTTAGATATGTAAATGCTAATAAATGTTTCTGCCTTCATTTCTATGTCTGCTTTGAACTGGCACAGTTAGTGCTATGTTTTTGAAATGACACATAGTCATTGTCCTTTTGGGGGCTATATTTTTCGGAGCCATCTATTTTATGAAATGAAGTGCCACATCTTTATTTGCAGTAACGTAGTACAGACACCGTTAAAGTAAAGAGAAGAGCTATACCAATTTCTGCAGGCACAAGCAAACTGCAACTTCAGATTTCAACATTGCTTCCCTGATGTCAAAAGAACTCCTTCTCCTTAACACAGAAATTTTAAAACACCTGATATAAAATCACTACGGTGAAACTTACCTACTTTTTAAATAATACCCTTTAAATGTAGGACTCTGCTTCTGTTTGAAAAACTGCAAGGGATTTGCTTCGTGTGGTGGTGTGCTCTCCCTGGTTTGCCCCCCCTCTCCCTCTCGGCTCCTGCCCGGCCTTGGCCACCACGGCCATCACCACAGCAGCTGTGATAACTTGCACCCGGTCTCTGGGGGATGGCTGGCAGCAGAGTCAAAGTACTGTCTGGAGTGGGGACCTAGAAATTTTGTTGCCATGAAAATATGACTCTAGGTCAATTATCTTACTGTATAAATAGTGGACAGCCCAAGGGCCCCTTGGAGCTCTCCTGTACGGCAGCGGCTGCACGCCAGGATCTCCCCTTTGGTGAGGATGCTCACTGAAGGTTCTGCTCCTCGAGGTTGAGAGATTTCTTGCCGCAACAGATTCTCGGTAAGTGACTCATAGCGTGCTAAACTTTGAAATCTTAGCTAAGTAATGTAAAGGATTAATTGTGCATATATGATCCTTTAGACATAAACCGTTGACCAAGTCTGGGACTAGGATTGGATCCAGCCGCACCCAGACTCCTCTCTGAGAAGGAGTTTAGAAAGCAAGGGGGTCCTTTCTGAACCTCGTGACTCAACGGGAGGGTCTCCCTGACAGTTCTGTCTGACCCTGTCCTCTGGGCAGTAAACAATAGAGTGTACCCTGACATCGAATCTTGTAAACACTATCGCATTTACCACTGGTTTTATCACACTACTGGTTTTGTTAAATCACTGTTTCACCTTAATAAATATTTCTCTGCTTCACTCTAACTAGTGAAGTTAATCACTCCGTCCGCGACACTTCGGGATGCAGTTTTATAACTGAAACACAAGTGTTGCATTGAAGATACAGTGATAATTTTCAAACAATCTTGAAAACAATTCTACCATCTTTTGTGTTAATCTCATGGCATGTGTTTGACTAAAGGTGTCCTGCCTGAGAATCTACATTTTTTTTAACTTAAAAATATTTTGCCACTGTTTTTCTAAGAGCTATTATTAATAGTGTGAACTTCTATCCCCTTAAATGGAAGTGAAGGAAGAAAACATGAGTTAAAAGCAATTAAAAAGAAACATTTAAATTATTTTAGCATAAAAAAGTTAGAAGCTTCCTGTTTTATTGGCTGGTCTGTATTATGACTATGTACATATTGATACATCGAATCCGTTCACAGCTATTGCAGGAGTAGCTGTTATTTATAGATTTTTTTTCCCTCCTACGAAGTCATTATTTTATATTTTTTTGAAGATGCTTTAGTTCCATATTGTCTTATGAAACTCTATGTTATGGACTTATAAAATAGCAGTAAAAATGCTCTTCTCAATGTAACTTGATAAACTGTAAGAAGGTTTAACCTTAATGAAAAAAAAAACAACCACAAAACACAGACATCTTTTATTTATAGAACATTATACTGTATTTCGAGAACACAGGGCACCCAAAGGCTAAGCAACACTGGCAATGTACTGTAAGTAATTAAACACGGAAACAGAATATTTAATTCATTTTTTTAATTCACTTTTTAAAATTTATAATTTGAATAATTTTTTTACCTCTTTCTCTTTAAAGGGAACTACAAAGATTTCTGGTAAATAATGGTTTCAGGAGTTTTCTTTTTTTCATGGCACATTTTTTGCTTACAAGGTGGCAAGCCTTTTTTTTATGATAGGAAAAGTTAGATAGGAAGCTAGGAAAGAAGATAGCAATCCACCTGCATAAACAGTATGACTATACAAATATAGGGTACCAATGAAATCCTAGTTCAGTTTGTTTATTTTCCAGATTTAAACAACTTAATATCTAAATAACTGCTTTAGGTTTTAAAGACAACTGCAAGTGATCTTCTGACTTGTGGTTGCAACATTCTTTTCAGCCTAAAAAGTAGGTTGCCAACCTAGGTTTAGGCAATGTCATTTAGTTTTTCTCCTAAGCACAGGTTTATTCTTACTAAACTTACTAGGATTCCTGGAAATTGGATGTTGTGCTGTGTTTGAAATGTAAATATAAATTAATATTATGAAAATATAAATGCCTGGTAAACATATAACTACATACATAGCTGAGCAAGCCTCTGTGTCTGCATGATTTACCATAATAGACTGTATATACTGGAGTAAGAGCAAGGCTCTTACTGGTAAATGCTGTTTTCTGTTACAGTAATTCAGACTAAATTAATTTTAAGAATATTTTAATAATTTCAAAAAGATAACTCAAGACATACCATAATTTAATATTCTCAAAGACATTCTTAATATCTTTTTTTCTGTCTTATTATTTATTAGTGTTTCACAAAATAAGTTATACTGCATCTTTTGCCCAGATTTGGGGTTATTTTTACCCAGTGTAATATTGCCATTCTCTTTTTTTCTTTTTTTTTTAATTTTTCCCTTTTCCACATAAAGTCTTTTCTTCCAGATGTGGGAATTACTATCGGTACATGTTCACATCTGAATGGGGACATTGATGATGATAGTAATAACAAAACTAATGAGAGAAAGACTAATGAGAGAAAGAATCGCTACTGAGAGAGTATGTTACAATTTGAAAATATTGTTCAGCTGTTGAACTAGTTTCATCTCTGGAATACCTTTTCCTTTTTCTCTGTTATTACATCAGGGAGCTTTATCCCTGATGCAATCCTGTTATGGCTTAGCTAATAAAGCTTCATGGCTTTCCTTTTATGCTTCTATAGTAATTTCTTTCTACAGACGTAAATTATCTCCAACCTTATCTCCCCTTTTATTTGTAACTCAGGAACACTTGTTTTGCAGTGTCACTTCAAATGCTGTATGGTGGCTTCAAAAGAGCGAGTAGCAATGAAACTCTCCATTTCTGAACATGAGGTATGAGGTTGTTCATGTAAAGAACTTGCATCTTTATTTCTTGGTTCTCATGTACTACTGGTTTCTTTGGAACAGTGGATGGAGGGGAGACAGGGGGACAGATAAGGGTGTGTTTCAGAGTTTTATGTGCAATTTAGGACCTTCATAATGCCTGAGAAATTAGAGTCTCTGAAGGGAACCCAGATTTTGACAGACCCATATCACCTTTACTGAAAGCAATGCGTCCTCGGTGCAAAGAAGGCCCCCAGCTCCCTGGGCTGAGTTTGGCAGAGTATTGCCAGAGTTGCCAGCAGGTCGAGGGGAGGGCTGAGACAGATTCTCCTCACCGGTCAAGAGGCAGTGGGCACAAACTGAAACACAGGAGGTTCCCTCTGAACATATGAAAAACATTTTTTACTGTGAAGGTGATCAAACAGTGAGTGGCACGGGTTTTCCAGTGAGATGGTAGGGTCTCCGTCCTTGGAAATATTCAAAGCCTGGGATTGGTCCTGAGCAGCCCACTCTAGCTGACCCTGCTTGAGTAGGGGGGTTGGACTAGCCAATCTCCAGCAGTGCCTGTCAACAACAGCTGTGATTCTGCCATTCTGTGAAAGAAAATACTGCACAGGCCCCATTTTGCAGAGATGCCCCTGCACACCATTTGGCTTCATCAGTTCTCCTCAGCCCTGAGGGGATGGGATTGTCTCTGAGAACAGGGGGAGGAAGTCTCTTTTCTTCCCTGATCACAGTTTCTTGAGCTGCTTCCCCTCAGAGATGAATAACTGAGGCCTTCCTTTTGCAAGTTCTTGTATGTACAATAAACTATCACAGGAGATATTCCATTAAAGGTAGACATGTTACTGATGTGGTTAGAGCTTGAACATATCCGGAAGATAAGGCCTCTAAATAACTTTTTCTTTGAGTTGTGTTGGTGTTTTTGGTGATAGGAATGTTTGACGACTGGAATGCAGAAATTACCATTTCATTTCACTGTTCAGCAGCCATGGGATGACGATAACACTATCACTCCAGTGAATCCAGCACCATTTCAAGCTTCTGTAACTTCAGCTACTTGAAAGCTTTGAGCTTCAGGTCAGCTGTAAATCTCCAGTCAAACAATCACCATCAGGTGTTGAAGAAACAGGAGAAGGTTTCAAAGCTTCTCTGGTGCCAGGGCATCCGGCACACTGAAAGGAAAGGAGTACATAGAAAAGCTCTGGACTTCCTGCCGTTATTTAAAAAAGCCCTTCAACTGTCAAGCATGAAAGAAGTAAGCTATTGTAATAGCCAGCACTCTCACTCCCAGGGGGAAGAAATATTTCAGAGCTTCATTACATCTCCAGATATACAATTAGCTGAGACCCCACTAAAATACTTGCCATTCTCAATTTAATCCTTCAAAGCAGTCAGAGCTGAAAATGATGCCAATGCTTCTTGCTAAAAAAAAAAAAAAAAAAAAAAAATCTGAGTCCCTTCATCTGTAAAATCATTGATCATTTCTTTCTGGTTATTAAAACAAGGAATCATCATTATAAAGCATTGTAACTTTAGGTGAAACATTTGTGGAAATTCATTACAAATGAACTTTCATGAGAGCACCTCTGATCATAGGATCCCTAAGCAGTGGCTGGAAGCAGTTATCCTGTCCTACCTATTACAGACTTTTGCTGCTTTCATGTACTTCAAATAGGAAGTGACTCTGATATTTCACATATCTTATGTATTCATATCTCAGTTACTAAGATATATGATAAAGGAAGTAAAATATAATCTAAGGAAATTCTGTAGAATGTCATTGTGGCAACAAGAAAGACTTCTCCAACCACAGCAGTTTGAATGATAGTAGCTCCTCTTAGATATTACTTACATGTTTACAGATTTCTGTTTGGTAGCAGGGAGAGCTACACTGCAGGCTTTTACAATACAGCATAAAAACTGCTGTAAAAAAAAAAAAAGCATATTAAAAAAACCAGTTATTGTGCACTAGCCAAGATCAGACAATAAATTGTGGGCAAAACTAGATATATTACCCAAATATGATAATTTTTAGTTACTACCTCACAAAGAAGGGCAGGTTGGAGGCATGCAGAATTCCCCTTATTAGATCACTGAATATTTCTTGGTCTTGAGTGCCACTCTGGGCAACATTTAGAAAGAATAAAGACAGTGAGGTCAATATTTAGCTCATTCAGCTCTATATGTAGTTAGATGTAAATATCTCATTATTAGCTCACTTTTTTCAGTTTCCATTGTTGTCATATCTGATTGCTTTACAGTGTGAGAAAGCTAACCTAAAAGAACAAAAGTATTTTTCATTAGCTTTTTTTAACTTAAAGATTTGGGTCTTCACAGAAAATTAAAAACATGTAAGAAGACCCATGCCAATTATCAGGAAATTTATTTTTCCTATATGCATGCTCTAGCCTAATTTCTTGCATGAAAATGTGTCATTTTAAGTTTCAGAGCAAGACAAATATTATTGACCAGGTCCAGCTCTTTCAAAGATCGTTGGTCTCCTGTTATAAGAGATTTTCAGAAACAAAAAAAAAAGAGTGTGAGGCTGTAATGAAGTCAGTAAAGGCTACCTGAATATGAAGATGTCATCAGCCATTATTTGATGTTTTAAATTATCCATCAGCTTAAGTTGCTTTGTTTGCAGTTTCCACCTTCAGCCACTTGCTGCTAAGAGTCCTGTAAACGTCTGACACATGTTTGAAACTTTTTGTCTGGTTTTTTGTTGATTTTTTTTTAAAAGAAACCCCTCCACTGAAATTTTGCTGTATAAAGGTTCATGGATTATTCATATGTTAAATCCTGTCACCTATATTTAGCTGCAAATCCTAAATTAATTGGAAAAACTCCACAGCAGTGCCTGATATTCTGCTGTGCTGCTTAGCAGTGATGCTAGACTCAAAAGCTCCTTTAAAAGAATTGTGGCATGCTTCCAAGAAAAAAAAAAGGAGTAAAAGAAAAGCAGCCTGCTAGCTGTATGATATTAAGAGTTAAGCCACTGTTAAAGAGAATTAAAATCATGGACTCCAGTTCTACAAACAATCACGCACATGTTTCACTTTAAACATGTCAGTAGTTCTATTGACTTCGGTGAGCCTCCTCGCATGGCTTAGAGGTACTGAAATATCATGTAAATGCCGCTATAAAAAAGAGAGAAACTCTTACCGAGCTTTTTCCTAAAGCACAGGTCTTCCCACTTCTGCTGGTGCACGTGCAACAAAATCTGGGCAATTACCATCGGGAGGCATTGCTGAAGATCCTCACTGCCAGCCCAAAGCAGGGAACGCCCACTCAAAAACTTAAAACAGAAATTCTGTTACAGTAGACAGGAGCATCTGCTTTCAAAATGAGCTTTTCTACCCAGAAGGCTTTAGAGCTGAGTAAAGAATATCCCAGCCTTCTCATTCCACATACACTTTCTTTTATTTATGATCTTAATTCATTGTGATGTTTCATGTTAATGCAATTCATGTTATTGTCTCTGCGGCTAATAGATTCATAAATATTTGTATACAAAATTGTTTATATTAAACATCTTGTAGTAGAGACATACATTTCCTCATCTCAAAATGGCACACACGTGCTCTCTATTTTTTTTTTCAAGGTAACATGAAAATATTGGGCAATTTAACTGACTGAAACAATTTTAATCATGTCTGATTGAATGGCTGCCCACCTCTTCATGTGAAAATAAAAGCTTTTGTTAAAGTACAGATGAATTACTTCACTTAAACTCTGGGAAAAAAAATTGATTTTGGCTGTGCATTTGTTCATTAGATCCAGATGTACACTATTAACTGTCCGTAGCTGGTTTTGCTAATAAATCACGCCTGAAGGATTTTGTTTTGCAAGATGGCAGAAGAGTGCTCTTGTTTGTTTTGTTGTTGTTTTTTATCACAGTTGATTTATTTGTTTTGTTTTGTTCTGTTTTGTTTTCTACTTGGGACCTTCTGGCAATAATAGTACAGTATTTTGTTCTCAGAACAGACGTGTATGTTGTTCTGAGAATCTACAGCTTACAGAACAGAATGTGCAGACCTTGTGGATGGGAAAATTAAAAATGGACAAAACCAATTTTATAAATTGTTCAGTTGTATTGTTAACACCTACCTAGTATCTGAGGCAAAAATGTACATAGATGTATATATGTTATTTAAGGCATGTGCAAGAGCAGTCATTTTCCAGCTGGCCTGTAAATGCATTAAGTAGAAAACCCAAATGTCATCTCCTCCTCACTCTTATCTCCTATGCAAGATGGGACAGGGAGAGCCCCTTCACAATTTTATATTTTTTCTAGCTGGGTGATGTATGAAGGGAACTCATCTATCCTGCTGTCCTGCATAAATCCCAAACAGCATTAGCTATGTTGTCTGAGTCCTCTGTCCATGGAAATATAGACTCATTTGTCTTTCTGAAAATGTTAAGGATGTAAGGAACTCTTATCTCCTGCAAAATGCTTAAGCAACTCTTTCAAGGAATTTGCAGTCCTAGTGATAGCAATAAGAGAGAAAGCTCTGCAACAGCTTGCAGAATTGGACTTTATGTCAGCCTACACACATTAATTGTAACCTATCTTGTCTTTTCAATTATAAACTTTTTCAGAGGATGGAGTGGATTTCTCATAGAGGATACTATACAAAAAATTCCTTATGTTTACAGCATTTTTTACATGTATAGTAATATTAAACATATATCATGTGGTTATACAGTGTATTTATTACCTCAGTTTATTGAATAAAACCTGCCAGTTGGGATGCTTAGAAGGTATTGGACAGAATTATTCCTACTTTGCAACAGACAACACTGTGATTTTTCCTAATATTCACAATTTTTATTACAACCACCTGTGTTCTAACTGAATTCTTTTCCAAAGCTAAACTCATAATTTTAATGAAACCTTCTATTGCTCTGAAAACATAAGTTTTTGAACTTCTGTGACATATTTACAACTTCGGTGATGCTTATTTTCCTTCTCTTTGTTGACTGTACCAACAAACTATTAGTTTTTTCACTCTCTTGCTTCTGCTATACTGGCACCAGTAATTAATAGATCACTTAATGAATTCTCCAGATATATGGAACACATTAACCATATGACAACCGTTTATAGTCCCCTCCATTTCTAAGATCTCAAGACCACCAACCCCCTGCACACATTCTGCCTAAAGACCCTGGTAATATGAAAGTAGACTCCTAGAAAAGCTGCTTTAGTTCCCATTTTCCTTGGTTGAAGGCCATTATACTATGACACAACTTATTCTATAGCATTAAAGTGGTCCTTATCACTCTGATCTTTAGCTGGCATTGCAGCTCAGCTGCATTCCTATGACGACACACTATGAAGCTCTGCTTTGGAGCTGAAATTTGTCCTTAAAGTCATGTGGAAAATCTAAGCAGCATCAGCAATGCTTAAGATCATAGGAGTCCTGTGTAGAACCTGGATATCCCAGCTTGACTCACCTGGTTTAATGCTTCCTCCAGCTGCTGTGACACAGTTGCACTGTAAAACCCTGAAAGCTGCTGTCGCCTTGGTTCATGCATGGAACAAACAGTTGAGGTCTTCATGTTGGTGAGAAAGACTAGTTTTCAGTCACCATGGCTCATGTTTCATGCCTTATCAAAGAAGATAGAGCTGCATTAGACATAATTTAGAAGCTCTAGGATGGCATAAATTATGGCAAATTCAAGCAAAGCCCTTCTCCAGAATTGTCAAATGACCATATGCTCTGACCTGACTCCTCCTTGTGCCTTTCCTGACAGCAGGATGCTGCAGATGCTAAGGAGAAAGGGCTCTTCTGGAAGCAGCCTTAAATCTCCTTCCCAGAGTCCTCTCATGACTTCTGCGTTGTCTCCTTTACCATCACTCTGGGGTAGGTGAAGACCACACACATCCAGCTGTGGGAGAAAGGGAGCTGAGCAGGTTAGGCTACAAGCACAACTTGCAGAAAGTGAGCAGCATGAACCAAGCCTGTCTTGTGGTGTCTTAAAAAAAAAAAAAAAAAAAAAAAAAAAAAAGCTCATTTCGAGCTCCAACAGGAAGTCTGCCAACTTGTGTATGTTTGGGGATTTTTTTTTAAATATCTCTTTTAATGCCTCACATTTGTTAAGCATCTTGTGATGTCTGGTGTATCAGACCATATATCTGAATTTTGGAGTATCTGACTTAATAAAAACGACCTAAGGGGTTTAATATTTTTCCTAGAACTTTTTTTTTTTTTTTTTTTTTTTTTTTTTTTTTTTTTTTTTTTTTTTTTAAAAAAAAAAAAAAAAAAAAAAAAAAGCTAAAGCACTTTATTGTAATCCAGACTATCCATGAAAGGTATGGGAAATTAAACATATTCCATAAAGAAGAATATTCTGCTTTGCATAAGTTGCCTAAGGCTACAGTTATTAACACAGTGATATTTTCTGATAGAAATTTTTTCTGTCTTACTTTTCCATGAACTTTTTGATTAAAACAGTAAAAAGAAGTAAAATAGAGTTTGTTAACTTGCTGAGATCATTAGGATAGCTACTATTTTTCCTTAGAGCAATAACGTATTCCTAGTTGGCATTTATATTTCAGGACTGCTTAACTGTCTTTCTAAAAATAACAGGTGTTGACTACTCCTGCAGCCTATGTCAAATACTCAGATATAGGTATAAATTATTAACAGCCCCCCAGAACGGTCAGGGAGCATGGTTGATATATCATACAAGAGTGATTGGTTTCCCTCTTTAGAACCAAAAACATTAGGCAGGATAAAGAAAAGTAAGACTCGCTATATCTTTCAAAATTTCCTTAGCTCTATTGTCCATTCATGGACAGTTGTGTTTGGCTGTCCTATTTCAAGTTTGGCCTCAACCCTGATTTTCAGGGACTTTGAATGCCATTGTTTATCACCCTACTTTATGCAGCAAGGAAACATATTTACAGCCTTCTGACCTTTTGCATTGTGTCTCTAAGTACAACATATAAATTTACGTGCATACCAGGAATCCCTATGCATCTAGTGAAATCCACATGTAACTTTCTGTGCCCATATTCCATCATATTTTTACATGAACACATGGCTTTTATAACAGATCCTGCTCATAATTTGAGGCCCTCCTTTTTCTGTGATCCAGCCATGGGATGGATTTTTCATTAATAGGGCCCTAAGACTTTACACTTGACTTTGGAAAAAAAGCAGGCACGAGTGCCAAGTTTTGAACTCTGAGCTCATTATAATGCAGTCTGTTGTGTCACACACATTCAAAAATGTAATTCCAGGAGAAACCAAATTCCAGATCCTCAAATGGGCCTTGGTGGGCAGCAGGCTTTACTGCGCGTTTGACAGCAGTGGTCCTGGGCACGTTGCTGGGGATAACTGATGGCTCAGAGCTGATCTGTCAGTGAGCAAGAAGTGGAACTTGGGGGATTTCCTCACCCAAAGAAGTAGTGTGCTATGATGCATGCATGCTTTGGCAAAGTGCCTTAGTTTTAATCACTCAGCACAGAGAACTTCCTTTTTGTCTCAGCTTTCATTCAGCTGTCTCCTAGCTCCCTTTATGGTAACAGACTTCTACCCACCAATGCCCGGTCCTAGTAGAAAGGCACGTTCCCATAGCAGGAGTGTCCTCACTTTATATTTCCTGCATGTACGGTAATTCAAAGAAACCAGGAAAATTGGAAATGCTACCAGGTGACTATCACTGATTACACTTCCATCACAGAATCATTTGACTTCCAGAGAAACAACAATAAATTCTATTTTCAAATGCATCACATTTTCATGAAGCACCTGTGTTCATCTTTAACATTAAGTAGGTATTGATACACCTTTGTGGAAACCCTGTCATCTATAGTTGCAGAGTAAGCAACAGAAAAATGTTCTTACAGAGGGGACTTGAAATATGGAGAGTTAAGAAGCAGACAGGAAATCTATTGGCACAGCCATGATAATTCTTACCCACACCAGCCTACATCTACCCTACAGTTACCCTGCTGTTGTTTTAAACTGCTTTATATAATTGAAGAGAGTTAAATAGCTTTTTACAGGGTAGAGGATGGTCTGTGCAGTGCCTGAGACATGGGACATCATGAGATAAATGAACGTGCTGGTGATAAATTAGGAGGAAGGTTTATACCTCCTTTTAGGTACCTCATAAAGCTATGCCTGGGGCTTGTGCTGGAACTGGCCATCGTTCTGCAATTACTTTGTGAGAAAATAATTTTAAAAGCACTTCTCCTTTATGTTTTGGAAAAAGGGCTGAACTGACAGCTCCCAAAGTTGAAATTAATTGACAAATCATAAAAAGTTTGGGAATTATACATTAAGACTTAACTGCCGCAACCTGTCAATGCTCTGAACGCTGCCCCAGAGGGACCACTCCCAGAAGCGAGGGAGCCAACATTTCGGATTTCCTTGGAGATCATAGAGCACCAATCAGTGCTAATTGTGGTGATGGTTTATTTCACGTACACTCCCTAACTGCCAGCCAGCAGCAAGGCCAAAATCATCGACTTGTTTAATTCAACCTTTATTATCTGTTTAACATTATGTGCATTTGCAAGGTATGCATCATTGCAGCATCTGGACACACTTTGCAATTACACGGACCAAAACTGAACCCACTGGCACTGTTAATATTCTTAAGCATTTATTATATTCCAGCATTGTTTCTATTGTCTTGTACACAGTCTGAAACTGCTAGAAAGACAGACTTTGTCCCAGGGAGCTTAAAGTACAGACAAGCAAATTTTTCCAAATAGCAGAGCAATGGTATTACGGGGTTCCGTCCTGGCTTTTTTTTCCTGACTTTCAGCATTAATAAAAACAGAATTCAAACTAATGAATTTACTCTGTGAAGACCAAGGCCGAAAAAGACTCTGCATTTGTGTAAGATTGAGAATGGAACGTTTAACACTTACATAGCATTGATTCCCCAACAGAAGACTGTATGTCAGCTATCAGAAGTATCTCTCTGTAATGTATATTCTATTAAGGAAGACAAACTTTGAGACGCACCACTAATAGATATTTCACTTTACCTCCAGGAACTGCAGTTTACGTTTCTGAGTAGCTTCTGAGTTTCACATATTCTGAGAACTATGAAATTATACTGCCTGTAGCCATGGAGCTATGGAGCTCTGAAATCAAATGTGCACTGTTCCTAGCTAGCTAGGATCTACTTTCATTATTTTATTGAAAACTTACATAAGAACTTGCATCCGTTTCTGGTATTTCCCAGTGAATATGGGGAATGCTCTACATAAAATATTTCAGTGTTGGTATGGCTGGTGCATGTTATGGGTACAGGCTGGGCAGGAAAAGCAAAGATGCTGTTCTGTGTGGTATAGAGAGAAGTTAAAAAGAAGTGAATGATTTAGGATTTCAAGGCTGAAGTCAGGCAGCACTGATAAGGGAAGGTCTTTCTGAACATACTTTAAAACTTCCGCTGAAGTGAACGAGCTGTATTAGACTTTAATGTTTCATGGTGTGTGATGTTGCTAGAAATCTTGGATGGGAGTATAAACTGATTCCTTTACATTTTGAGAATAATTTTTTCCTCATGCATTAGCCATTTTTAACTGGCTATCATCTTGGATTACACACATTTGGACATGTAACTAATTTTACACCCCTCTCCTTACATCCCAGTAAAGCACTTGCACATCGCAATTTTAGAGCATCACATGTAGCAGGATCTCACTGTTAAGGTTCATTTGCTGTCCTCAGACAGCACTTAAATGCGTTCTCTTTAAGTATATCAGTATTTCTTACAATTCCCCTAAGCCAAAACAAATAACATCTTTAGATTAAAATGGAAAACAAAATTCAAACCTGCTGTGGTTTCCATTAACTTAAAAGAATCTGAAATAAGGATAGTAGATTTAAGCCAATCCATAGGACGCGCTTTTGTCCTGTGAAATTTTCAGTTAATATCATGAAATGTAGATGGGAAGCTGATATTTGAGGCTGAAGCATGTTCTAATATTAACAACTGAAAGAGAAAACTAGCAATGAAGTGGAAAAGACAAGAATACCTGCAAAAATCCTGGGACCAGAAGGTCTGAAAGCGGATGGGTTGAAGTAGCCAGGCTGAGACTCTGTAGATACCCACAAGGCTGGCGTGTCCACCGTAGGTTATCTGTGCACATGTGCACAAACAGCAGGAGTTGGGTCCTCTTAACCCGCTCATCCAGGCATCTCACATTGCTAGTAGAGGCTTCTGGTGCAACTTGCATCACATCAAAAAGCAGGTCTGAAATAGGTCCCACCACTGGCCTTTTAGGCTCTGAAGTTGCGTTTCTCCGGAGTCTAGACTACCAGCTTGGATACTAGAGATGCAGAGAAGTAAATCAGGCAGCCAAGCCACTGTGCCCCAAGTTTCCTCTCTCCTTTGTGCTGGTCTTCACTGTAAAAGAAAGCATACAGTAGTATAACAATTCAAAAGTTCCTAGGCTTGGGGATCCCAATTTATCTCACATTGAAAATAAATTCCTAAACATCTCAGAAGTGTTCGGAGAGACATGGGTTATCTCACCCATTATAGTACTCATTCACTACAGGGCTTAGGTTCTTGACTTGCTTTTAAAAATGTTAAGAAATAGCTCTAATTTGCCTAATTTTCGTTGTTGCTTTACTCACAAGAAATAATTTATAAAGAGGGTGAGAAAGTTTCTCCTTCTTGTGTAGCTCTTTTCTCATGCCAAACATACACACGGCTGAATCTCTTCAAACTCTGCTTAAAAAAAAAAAAAGAAATATGTAGATCAGTTATATAAAATTGATGTTCACAATAGAAAAAATAGAAAACCTTATGTATGTTTATGCTTAGGATAAATCTTGTTAGTAACGTCTGCCTGAGAATAACAGGAAATAAGTGAAATGGATGTGCACGTCCAAGTGTTTAGTATCACATAATATGAATAGATAGACACACACAGGTACACACACACACACAAAAACACAAACACACATTTACAACCATATGAGACTTTGAAAGGCTCAGTTAAACAAGCCTAATTTTGCATAACCTAGCAAAATTTCGAGACACATTCTGCTTTCCAGAAATCCAGCTGACTCTGGTATTTTGTTAGTGGAAAGTGACTGCAAGTAGGGGATTTGAATAAATATTTATTTATGTACAATTATGTCATCTGCTGGATGCTCCATTATTTTTCTGGCAAAAGGACTGATTAAAAGTAAAATGTATGAATGAATGTATGACCTGACAGTGTTTTGTTTTTCTTAACAGTCAAACAAGAAGGCAGTGGCACAGAAACCCTCCCCTATATCATGCAAATGTCCCACAGGGCCTCGGTCTTACCATTGCCAGCTGTATGTCCCCCATCTTAACTTTTTCCTCAGAAAAGGATTAAGCTGAAATAGCTCATTTATATATGTATTTATAAATCTATATGATTTTTTTTTTTGTAATTGCAAAGTTTCCTTATTAAATGTGCTCTAAGAGTTGGGGAAAATGTGTTGTTTATTAAAGCCATATTTTGCTAATAACATTTTGCAAGAGTTCAGATTACAGAGAGCACTATTCTTTACTCCTTTTTAAGGAGGTGCTGTAATTTTGGAAAGCAATGTATGCCCCATTTGAAGCCTGGGTTGCTATAGCAAATTCACATTTCAATTCAATCATGTAGTAAATAATAACATAAAATTGTGTGCAAATGGCCAGAGTGAAGGTTAAATAAGCCTCCCAAGTACCCTTAACTTGGGGCAAGTTGCTTTTTCCTGCCAAGCCTTACAATTCCTGCAACTGTTTCCCGTACAGCCTCCACGTGTATCACGTGCACTTTTAACTGCATTTCATATTCCTGGTTCTGAACTTCTTGGCTTATGGGCAGTTTCTGGATAGGCTACAAAGGAAGATTCTTGGGCCTTGATAAAGATGAGTTTTATGAAGAGGTAGACTCCAGACACCGTCCAAACCAGCTGAATACTTTCAGGTACTACCTAATATCTCTGCACCTAATCAAGTAATTGCTCTCCCCTGATACCTGACACAGATGAGTACTGTGGGGTAGAAGAAAGCACTCCAAAACCCATCAGCTTCAGTAAAACCAGGGCTGCTAGCAATATAGCCAGCCGGCTCCACCTCTTCGCTTGGGCCTTCCCCTGATCTAATGGAACACTGGCGCAGTCTTTATCTTCCACAACTGAGAAGAGACTTGTGATATTTAAAAAAAATTGAAATTTGTGTTGTTTCCAGACCTTGTCGTGACAGTTTAAATATGAATAAAATACACAGAAATAAAGAAAACAAATTATAGTCGTGTAGTCAATCTTCACAGTACAGATGGTTCTTCAACCTGATTTTCCACCTGATTTTTTTCTTAGAAACTTCTGCTGGTTTTTTGGTGGTTGTTTTTCAGAAAATGAAGTCTTTTCCAACTACCAAACAACCCAGCACCAGTGACACTGGGGGTGTTTCCCCAGCAATAATTCCAAACTACTGTTCCCCCTATCCCTCCTGCCCCATATTTTTGACAACACTGATTTATGTAAAAGAGGAAAACTGTATCTGATCTGAGTATCGCCTCGAGAAAAAAGAATAAAATGTTGGGTTGTTGCCAGCTCTACTGTCTTGGAACAACCCTTGCTATGAAAGTTCACACTATTATTGCTATAAAAAATGTTCTTCTTAATATTGTCAAGACCTTTTCTGAAATCTTACTGATTTCAGGCTGACTCTCTTTTCTTTAGTAACTATGGTTTTTAAATCTCTGCAGGTTTGACCACCTGCAGAAGCTGCTAGCTGTTGAAGCTGGGGAAAAATAACAACAAGTAGAGTTTATTTCCCATGATTTAATTCAAAAAATCTTGCATATGTGCTTAATTTAAAGTACGTGTGTATTCTCACTGGAATCAATGGGAATACACAGATGACTAAAGGTAAGCAGATGTGTAAGTCGTAGGATATGGGTCTGAAATTAAGACAAGCTTCAACAAGCGAAAACTGAAACAGAAGGGGAAATCAAACGTGACAGGAGTAATAAACAGTAATAATATTGTGGAGTCAGCCTAAGACACATAAAACATGACCATCATCACACCATATTTCAAATCTAAAAAATAGATGTAAAGAAGAATTCCAAATCACAAATGATTTTCTATTCTTAAAGGGAGATATGTACAGGCATAGAAGCTACGTCTTGAGAATGGACCCAAATGAGAAGAAAGCAGTTTTTCAGGCTGTTGAAAGACAGAATGTCAAATGGGCTGCTTACTATACAATGTAGAAAAAAAGAAAAAAAAAACCACTCAAATTGTTAGAGACTTATCTCCATAACAAAGATGTGTGAAAGCAAAGAGCAATTGGTCGAGAGATGACCAAAAAATCAAGAACAGGTGAATTGTAATGAGGGAAGATGATCTTTGGCAGCTGTATTTGAATGAATGTTAGATACGTCAGAGAAGAGACAGTGACCATTGTCAAAGCCAGAGACGATAAAGGCATAGGTGAAGATATAAGCTCTCTGAGCAGGAAAGCATTAGCCTCAAGAATATGGGTATTTAAAAAAAAAATATGAATATGTCATCCTGAGTATATGACTCAGGATTAATATAATAAGAAATCACAAAAATATTATCTTTTGATTGATTTGAAGATTATTCCTTGCTAGTCATCTACTCTGCAGTTTCAATCTACATATAACACATAATCTGAAGAAAAAAAATAACAAACAAAAACCAAAAAGGGAAACAAGTACTGAAAAAGTCATTACAATATTCCCTGATCCACAGCTTCATTTTGGATGATGATACTGGCTTCAGTGTTTTACATAAGCATCCTTGTTACCATGCTGGTGTGTCAGAGCCAATGAGGTACCTCCCGTTGATTCCTTTCTGACAGAATTCCGTCCCTCAAACATCCGATCTCCCTATCTCCATGGAGCCATCCCTTTTTTATTATATACATAGCCAAGATTCAGTAAAATATGGAGGCATTTAGTAAAAAGTCATAGGTGTCAATATTAATCCTAATTATATTCTAATCATATGACTTGTATCTTTGACATTAAGCACCTGTTTAAAGTTTGTTTGTTTGTTTTTTTGTTGTTTTGTGTTGTTTTTTATTAGCACTTATGCTTTTAGAATGATACCGAGGATGACAGATGACCTCTAAAGGTCATAGAGTGACTGGCTTGTGGGTGGCAACCGAGGGTCGTCTGGAAGGGGAAGGAGATAGGAGCTTAGGAAGATCTTCAAAGGAAAAACACTTAAAAGCTAAATTCTCAGCTCAAATTTATGATGTACATTACCTGTGTCTTGAAAGTTTTATCCTGACAGAGTCAGGACAATTTCTCATGTCTAGCGCTCAGCGGGAGCTCACAGCACAACTTTTTTCCTTAATATTAATTTTGACATTCACTCCTGTGCAGAGATAGGGCTGAGTCACAGCTTTTGGAGTCCTAGCCACATAAGAAAATCTCTAAAGTTTGAGGGCACTTGGACTGATAGTTTTGGCTCAAATCATCTCTGATCTTCTGTAAACAATTTGGCACCCTTCCTATTTGTACATACTCAGTAAATGATGTGAACCAGGAAAGAAAACAAGTATGCTAAAATAATCCTTTCCCCCCTGTTGTGCATGTGAATGAAACCGAGTCCGTCAGAAAGGAGGATATCTGCCAGTATCAGCAGGGAGGTTATTATCTTTGCATATGTTGTTTGCTAAGAAAATCCCTGTTAAGAGCTGTTGTGGCGATACGCAGAGCTGTGGAAGGATGCATTTCCACTATACACATTTGCAACCATCTGACTTTTTAATTTCCTGGGTTTCTAACACCATCCTACGAGAACAGTATGCCACCCCTAAAGAGATTAACTTGAACTGCATTCAGCTTCATTGGGACAGGATAATTGTCTTTTGACAACAACACTGCCAAGTAGTTTCCAACTAGAAACACTCATGAACAAGACCTACGTGACATGGTCCCTGCTGATACCGAAGGTCTGGGCTGGACGACTCCGGGTTGTCCTTTCAGTTTGTCTCTTATGTCCCCGTTGTTGCATCTGTCTTCCACAAATCTCCATCTGTAAAAGAGACAAGAAAATCTACGGGTGGGTCATGATCAGTGTGTTTTCTAAACTGCCCTATGTCTTAAATTTAACAGAGGTTAGCAAATGGCCAACAGGTGAGAAAGAGGGAGGGAGAAGGCATGTATTTTTTGTCCATGCCTGTTTATTCACATCTGTTCCCAAGCTCCTGCTTTTCATTTCATATAAGCACAAACCACAAGCAACTGCTGAAGGCTAGAGGAGGAGCAGCACGAAATCAGTGCACGTGAAATCAAGATCAGTCCTTAATATGGGACAGAGCAGAAGGATTCATGAACTCATAAGAAACAGCTTGCAAAGGAAGGGGAAAAAAAAATCAGTAATGGCAACAATTTTTTTTAAAAGAGTGAGCAGGATCCCAAAATAAAAACCACACCATTGGTGGTCACTAGCGCTGTGCTTAAGCTGTCATCTGTTGAATCTGGCAGTTTGCATGTCATTCAACAGATAAATGCCTTTACCAGAACCCTCTGGACAACGAGAATATACAGTGCACACATTTAAACCAGACTGCAAAGGCTGAGGGAGACTCTGTTGGTGGTCACAGACACCAAAGAATCAGGTATAGGAAATTCTGAGTAAAGCAGACATACGCTCAGAGAAAAAAAAAATAACGAGGCGAACCTTTTTTTCCCTTTTTATCCAACATTTTTGGTAATCCAGGCTGATTGCACGGTAATGTAGCCACTCATAAATTTAAGAATACACATAGATTACGTTTGTGTGGTAAACTGGAAGTGGTCTTTCCTTTCAGGTAGCCACAGAGCCATACAATTTGCTTTGGGAAAGCAGGACATATTTTATCTGCTCTCATCCCAGTTGCAGTAAGGAACCACATATGGCTGGAGGTTCTGCCTACTCTGCAATCTATTAAACATGTCACAGCAAAGTGTTTTCAACTGTATGCCATGTGGTGACTCTCAGCAAAGCAAGAAATGGTGGGATTTTTTGCAGATTATTACATGGGCTCAGAAATCCTGAGCCTGTGCAAACATTAAAAAATACTCAAAATATTTGAACTGGAAAACACACTCATTTGCTGTAATGCCTGTGGATTTCTTAAAAAAATACAGGATCTTCTTTTCCAGTCAGCCTCTCAAATGTGAAGTAGGATAATGAAGAAGAATTCTAAACAATTTTATTATAGCATGTTTTCATAGGCTATTTACAGCCTTTTCAGTTTATTCATTTATGTACATTTTGTCTCAGTTTTCAAACAAAAACAAACCTTTCCGGGGGGTAGCTTCATCCAAGTTTTGTCTTCTCCTCCATTGTTCTTCAACATACTCCATGGAAACAGGCGTATTGCTGGAATATCCTCCTTTCACATCAACCCTGGTATGAAGTTTCAAGGGCCAGCAATTATGTCTGGGGCTTTTAAAGGGTATTTCTGGGGCGCTGCAGCCCCTGACATACCAGAAAGAATGCTAAATTTTGGAACAAACCAACCAAGTGCATTATTTTCTGAAGATGCTGCTGTGGGACACAGTGCAGCTTGAACGCTGTCTCTGCTGTGCATTTGCTGCCACCACTGTGCCAATGCTCTTTGAGTATATTATCCAAATTTATTACTTTAGTGTCACTTTTTTTCTTTCCCTCTCCACAGGCTATGACTAGGATTAGCATTTTCTATGTTATCTGCTGCGTACATGTGTAAGGAGACAAGAAAACTAACCTTTTCATAACCAAGGGCAGAGAATCCTCCACTGACTATTCACTTTTCACAATATATTTTCCATTGTATAATGCAGAAGCAAAGTTATTAAAATGTTACTCCTATAGAATTTTCCAGTTCTTTTTGTTTATTCCTAATCTACATCATCCGGGCCGCCTGCGCTTTCGGGTGAGCAGTCAGTCTGTAGTCCAACACAAGAATTATCTTCACGTGCCAAAGAAAGCTCAGGAATTGCCCAGTCTATTTCAAAACCTAGAAAAAGTGGGAGGTTGTATCTGGCAGCAGCAATATGTATTAAACATTCTCAAAGAAAGCTTTGTTATTAAGGAGAGGCAACCAGTTTGGATCAAGTGGGACCAACATAAATCTTCATTCAGGACTTAAAGCATAAGAGGAACTATTCTGAAATTAAATAATCTTTTTTTCTTTCTTCTTTTTCTTTTCCCCATGAACATTTTTTTCCATATCTCCTAGGTCTCTGCACTCCTAGATTTAGCCTCTAATGAAATAAAATAACCCTCTCTGATTATCCTTTGGGCTGTATGTATTGAATAAAGCGGAATCAAATGAAACTGCATTTTAGTTATGCATAAGTTTGTTCCAAAAAACACTGCACACTTCAAGAGTTACTTTGGGTTGACTTTCCTGAAGCAGACAACATATAGGTCTCCACAGGCGATGGAACAATTTCTGTTCTCGCTACACTAATTTATAGAACTTGAGGCTATTAGCATTTCTCAGATTGCCTGCATACAGAACTGAGCCCTCAGTCATCTTACCTCTGTCAAATGGCGTGCAGACGATTACAAACTGTAACTGTGAGTCAGACCAGAAGTGACTGGACCTTCTTCAAGACATGTAAAGAATTCGTGTAATCATTCCCCTTGTTTTTCCACTTCTGTTTACATCCATTCTTTTCTCTCCTTGCCATACAGGAGGTTTGGATGCTGTTTTGGAAAGCTTAGCCCTTCTATGTGTTGTTGAAAACTCTCTGGCTGGTTTTGCAAGGAACTGCCCATCACGGAGTGTTCCTCCCAGAGAGAAGTGGTGCAATGCTTTGAAAGAAAGCTCTTGCTCCCAGAGGAGAAAACATAAACAATCCAGATGAACGTGTCAGGGAGCTGCCAATTCTTCTCATCCAACCTAGAGTCCCCCAGTATTCTGGTGGTGGCGTTAAAGTCCGGCTCTTAGAATCACACATGACATGGGAAACTCAGTTTTCGTTTATTTATAAATAATTCACTTCTAACCCTTGGGACTGCAGAGAAAGAAAAAAAAAAATTAAAACAAGGAATATAATAGCACAGCAAAGGAGCAAACAAATTCCCCCCTCTAAAATTTTTAACAGTTGCATGATTTTTGAACAGTGTAATTTATTAGGGAGTTTCTGACTCACTATCTTGAACTACTTAGTGGTGGCAATGTGCATGCAACATCGATTCCCCCAGATAAAGCAAGCACCCTCCATGGGCTGAGCCAGGCTTGAGGAGAGCAAGACACCCTCCCACAGCCCCATGCTGGGGAGGGAATTGCAGTGGGCTGATGCTGCTCATGCCACGTCGCTGACTAACCTACCCCTGCAGATGATGCTTTAACAGAGGGAAGAGCTGCTTAGGGAGGTAGGGCTTGGGAAGGGTAATTTATTTTATTTTATGTTATGTTATTTTATTTTATTTTATTATAGGGGCAGAATCTGAATGGCAGCAGTGCCAAAAAAAAAATAAAATAAAATTGAAAAATCCTCTTCCAGCTGTACCAGTTTGGTTCAATGAATGCCAGTACTCCTCTAGGGAAGCCCTTAGACTGTGGCAGCACAACCACAGTACCAGAGACAGGCCATAGGCAGTGAATAACAAATTCTCCTGCCCAAAGGGTCAATCCTAAAAATATTTTAGGTAGCAATCTGCTATTTTGTTGTATGCATGGAGAGGAGGGATGAGGAGGGGAAGAAAAGTGTGGATTTGGAGCTCGTGCCTCACATCTGCCTAAGAATCTGAAATCTATGGAATATTTGGAATTTCTGTGTTTGCAAGGCCCTGGAACGTGTTTAAAACAATATGCAAATTAAAAAATAAAACCCCTGCTGAAGCGTTTGACTTAATGTGCCTTCACTGAGCTGAGGCCAGCTGGGAATTTCCTTAAGCCCTAGAATGAAGTGAGGTTTCTCATGCAGATAGCCCACAGTGGAGCAACAATGTTACATGGATTTTATGAGTTTCAATAACTCTGCTTTAATCAGAGAATTAGAAGCAACCAAGAAACCCCTCTAAGGCCCGATTTGCTACTCTATTAAACCGGTACAGCAACAGAGTAATATCATGGTTTTTGATGGAGTTATGCTGGCATAAAATTGATGTCAGAGACGGGTGAATCAAGCCCCAAGAGGGCTATGAGTTGTTTTCTCTCTATCTGACATTTTAATGTTCAAGTGAAAAAACATGGTGGAGTTGGGAATGAATCCTGAATGCAGTCAACCTGAAAGGCTTGGTACAGAAGGATGTGTTTCTAGTGCTAGTTTAATCATTCAAATACACAGAATATAATCCTTCTTAACAGAAAGCACCATCTAAACAACCTGGCTCTTATCAAATTAGCAACCTGTATTTATGCACTGACACTAGTAAAGCTTTGTAGGGTATTATAATGGAAAAATCCATATGTTTTGATAAGTTTTACTAATTATTACGTCATTTTTTTGAACACAAGGCTAAAATATTTACCCTCTAGTATTAGGAATAATTTCGTAAACTGAAATGTAAGCAAAGAACTTAGCGGTATTTTTTTCTGTGTTAACTTTCTACAAGAAAACACAAAATTGCATTAAATTGAAGAATGCGGGGCTAAATATAAACAGCAAGAAATAATATATTTTACAGTGCAATAAGATTTTAACTTAAGGAAGCCAGTCCAGTTTTGCACCATTTGAAAAATCCCAGTATTGTAATGCTTACTAAATATTCACAAAATTACATGAAATTGCTTAAAAATGGAAATCTGTTAAATAAGCAGAAAGCAAACATCTGTAAGTAATATAACATCTGAACATAAAAACATAAACCGGGAGACAAATGTTGCCAAACATATACATAATTATTGTACCTCATTAGACCCAAGGATGATGAATTCAGTTAAACCTGCAAACACATTTGAGATTCAATCCACTCTCGCACCACTTTTACTTCAAGGGAATCCTATTAACTGGAGGTCAGTGGAGACCTTCTGTTGGTGTATGAGAAAGGGGAAATCAGGCGCTCGCCTTATAGTCTGCCAGGAGAGACATAACCACTTATGATTTCAGTGTCTTGAGCAGAATTAATACAAAAACCCCAAAGTGCAATTTTTACCGCCAGGAATTGTACAACTCAAGCATGCAAAATGAAGCAATATGGTATTTTGGTGCCAAAGTAAGTTCACTTAAAATTTCTGAAAAACTACGCTTTGCCAACTCAATGTCTGCTGCATACAACCAGGCAGTAATGAGGGATAAACATGGGAAGGTAAATGGCCAGCTTCCTGTACAAATACTTGACTTCATCTTAAATATTCAGCCGAAATCCCCTTACAGCCTTAATTCAAAACTGAATCTATTACTTTTTTTGCCCCATGCTTACACGGGGCTTTAGCGTTCGTGCAGCAGTTGGCATTACAGAAGGAGCTAAAGTCAGAACTGATCCTCAGTGAGTATCAACTTGTCTTAGGGAAGTCCAAAATGGTAGGACTCTTACATGCTTTTTCTGCTCCATACCAATGTCAGAACAGCTCAAGCTCCTCTACATTACTTAGGTTTGGGTACTTAAAACCACATTCATCTACCAGCACACAGTTTAAAAGACATTTTCCTTAGAGTAGTCCAAAAGCCACCCGAGGTCCCAAACACCTTGTGCGTGACACACAAAAGAAGATCTGTGCTGTATTACAGCTACTGAACCATAAAGATAGTAGTGCATCACTGACAACTTTTGGTGCTTTGTCCACAGTTTAAAGTCTCACATATTAAAAAGCTCTCTGAGAAGGAAATTTAGGATCAGCTGCCAATCACTTAGTTTTGGCCTCAGCTGTTCATGTATTCCACAGTAATTCCTCTAAGCTGCAGGTCTTCGACTGAATTGCCATTGCACATCCATCAGTAAAAAGAGAGACTAGCCAAGCAGGATTAAACAGACAAGCTCAGATCCCAGGCTTCTTAATCCAAATATTTCTAAGGCACTCTCTCCCTCACCATCTTGTTCTTTGCCTCTACTGCCTCCCATCCCACAGTACCTACCAGCCACGGAGAATCTTGTTCCTGGTCTACAGCCTGCCTCCAAGGGTCAGGAGAGACCTGTTGACCTCAGGAAGACATTTAAATCCCCTTGGTTTGCAACCATGCAGCACACTTCCAAGAAGACATTCATGTTCGTGTAACTCACCACCTCACCAGCACAAATGCTCAGCAGTTTTTTCAGTTGCTGCCAGAAGATGCAGTCAGATGATTACCTGTCTCTGCTACCTGTGCTGGGAAAAAAGCAAACAACTGAAAAACCCCCCATGAAATGTCCAGCTAGAAAAGCCACAAGCAGAAAAAAACAATATACGCTTACTAATATTTAACTAGACAAAATAATGGAAAGTGTGTAGCCCTGGTAACATGTAGTTGACTCTGGAAATAGGAGAAAAG